AAGTGGTGTGAGTGAGGGTGGGACACGGAGGCGGCAGACGGTTGGCTGGACAGGGTGATGACGTCAGTTTCTCGTGATGGTGTGCAAGTGGTGACGTCAGTGTGACTCAGCCGGGCGGAGGGTGTGAGGGATGGAGGAGGGAAGGGACAATGGCTCCCGTATCCGCATGTTTACTCTCTGACTCGTGACCTTTGTATCCCGCTGTTACAGTCGCTCCGGGGGAAGATATTGACCACCAGGAGGAGTAGAAGAAGAAGAAGAAGTAGGCGAGGCCATAATGGAGGTGGAGAAGATACCATTAGCGTGAGTCTTGTCACCCTGTGCTGCCTCACACCTGTGGCCTGAACAGTGTTGCCATATCAGCTCCTCCTCCACCCTAGCCTTGGCCACTAAGTTGAATAGAAATGATTCACGTATCCGGTAGATCTAATATATGTAGTGATAACCTTGGCAAGACTGCATGGCTGGCTTAGACCATTAGTATTAGCTTAGACAGTATTTCCGTTGTATTACCCACATTGTGTATATTTTGTATTCTTGCACTGACTCTGTACCTACTTTGTATACCTTTATTTATATATGTATACTGTAGCCATGTATTGTCTGTATTCATGCTGACTCTACCATGTATCAAGATCTTCCTGCTGTAGGGTCGTGGTGTGAGGCGTGTAGATGGATAGATAGATAGATAGATTTATTCCCATATCACCATACTAGTTCACATCACTACAACACGTATGTAATCAGGGCCGGTATACAAACAACGGTAAACAGATCAACGATAAACAGATCAACGGTAAACAGATCTATTGTAAACAGTAGGTCGAGTTATCTATTAAGTCAGAGAAAAAGTTGTTACCGGATTCACGTGAAATAGTCTTCCGAATCTGTGTTTTTTTCCTGATATTTTTTAGTATATTTGTGTGGTAGTGTGGTCATGTGGCTAGTGTGGCAGTGTGGTCATGTGGCTAGTGTGGTCAGTGTGGTCATGTGGCTAGTGTGGCAGTGTGGTCATGTGGCTAGTGTGGCAGTGTGGTCATGTGGCTAGTGTGGCAGTGTGGTCATGTGGTCATGTGGCTAGTGTGGCAGTGTGGTCATGTGGCTCATGTGGGTGTGGCAGTGTGTGGTCATGTGGCTAGTGTGGCAGTGTGGTCATGTGGCTGGTGTGGCAGTGTGGTCATGTGGCTAGTGTGGCAGTGTGGTCATGGTGTGTGGCAGGTGTGGTCATGTGGCTGTGTGGTAGTGTGGTCATGTGGCTGGTGTGGTTATGTGGCTAGTGTGGCAGTGTGGTCCTGTGGCTAGTGTGGTCATGTGGCAGTGTGGTCATGTGGTAGTGGAGTTAGTGTGGCTAGTGTGGCTAGGTGTGGTTGGTGTGTAGATTTCCACGTGTCTGTTGGTTCCATTTGGAGCTTATGTTTATTTTCGTTTTTCATGTTTAAATTAGGAGGCATTAAAACGTGTCTGTATGTAGGTAATGTGTGTGTGTGTGTGTGTGTGTGTGTGTGTGAGAGAGAGAGAGAGGAGAGAGAGGGGAGGGTGAATGAGTAATGGTGGTTGTGGGGCTCTCTACTGGTCACCTCCACACTTCCCTCTCCCGGTGCAATTAATATCGAGGCGGTCATTCCCACTCGCCCTCTCCTACGACTGTTATTCCCACTCTCCCATCTTCCAGGGCCACTACCCCCCACTCACTCGTTCCTCTCTTCCCACTCTTCTCTCCCTGCCAAAACCACTTGCTCTCACACTCCTCTATCCTTCCATTTTTGCCAGGACCACTCGCTCCCCACACTCCATCACTCCCTCCCACTCACTCCTTCCTCCTTCTCTCGCTGTCAGGACCACTCATTCCTTCCTTCCTTCCTTCCCTCCCTCCAAGGACCACCCCACCTCCCTCCCTCCAAGGACCACCCCCACCTCTCCCTCCCTCCAAGGACCACCCCACCTCTCCCTCCCTCCAAGGACCACCCCTCCTCCCTCCCTCCCTCCCAGGACCACCCCCACCTCTCCCTCCTCCAAGGACCACCCCCCACCACCCCCCACCTCTCCCTCCCTCCAAGGACCACCCCCCTCCTCCCTCCTCCCTCCCTCCCTCCCTCCCAGGACCACCCCACCTCTCCCTCCCTCCCTCCCAGGACCACCCCACCTCTCCCTGCCTCCCTTCCTCCAGGACCACCCCCACCTCTCCCTCCTCCCTCCCAGGACCACCCCCACCTCTCCCTGCCTCCCTCCCTCCCAGGACCACCCCACCTCTCCCTCCCTCCAGGACCACTACCACCCTCCCTCCTCCCTCCCTCCCTTCCTCCCTCCTCCCTCCTCCCAGGACCACCCCACCTCTCCCTCCCTCCTCCAAGGACCACCCCCACCTCTCCCTCCCTCCCTCCAAGGACCACCCCCACCTCTCCCTCCCTCCCTCCAAGGACCCCCCACCTCTCCTCCCTCCTCCCTCCAAGGACCACCCCATCTCTCCCTCCCTCCTCCCTCCCTCCACCGTCAATCAGTGTTACCTAACTTGCACCCCGTCAAGTAATAAGGAACTTGGAACCCAATTACACAAGGCTTCAAATGCCCTACCCAAATTTGACAACCACTCCACACCCCTCACTCACATCACCCCCTCCTTCCTTCCTCCTATCCTCACTCCCTCCCTCCTATCCCTTGATCTTATAATGTGTATCCGGCATAATATTTCACCCCATCTTATTTTCTTTTCCCTTTCCTTTATTCTTTCCGTTTTCTGTATTTCTTCTTGTCTTTACTTCCAACTCTCTTCTCTACCCCCTCACCCTCTTCTCTACCCCCCCTCACCCCCTTTTCCCCCCATCACTAATTAGCTCGCCCACGTCTTGCTCATTTAACCAATACAAAGAGAGTCCAGCTAATGACCTATGAGGTGAACTTTCTTTGTATTTATTTATTTTGGATCACCTGAACATTAACCACCCTGTTCATTATTTGCGGGTGGGTTAGGTTAAGTTAGGTTAGGTGAGGCACTACTACTAAGACGACTCCCCGAGATTAGTTCCTGGAAGCTTTAAATCGATGCTCAGAGGCTCATGGGTAAGGGAGGGGCAAGGGAGGCTCAGTAAGGGAGAGAGGGAGACTTAGTAAGGAGAGGAAGAGAGATTCGTGGGTAAGAGGAAAACGGAGGCTCATTAAGGTGTAAAGACAGACTCATGGATAAGGGGGGGAGAGAGACTTATGGATAAGGGGGGAAAAGGGAGACTCATGGATAAGGGGGGAAAGGGAGACTCATGGATAAGGGAGGAAAGGGAGACTCATGGATAAGGGGGAAAAGGGAGACTCCTGGATAAGGGAGGAAAGGGAGACTCATGGATAAGGGGGGAAAAGGGAGACTCAGTAAGGGAGAAAGGAAGATTCAAACATACGGAACAGGATGATAATATACCCACCTACTTGTTTTACTAAAGGAAACTCTTATCTATCAAACAAGATAAATCAGACTAACTTGATCTGACTGATGGAAGAATTTATCTGTTTAGGAAGGGTAAATACTTCTTATCTAGATTATTGTGACTGTAAGGTTATATTATCAAGGGATTAACACTCGTTTGTTTTGGATAATCGGGATAATCCTTGGGTAAAGGTGTGTGTGTGTGTGTGTGCGTGTAAAATTCATGCTGAGGTGTCATCATGTAGAAGGAGAACACACACACACACACACACACACACACACACACACACGGTGACAGGTTAAGTGGGCTGATGGACCCAAGATAGCTACTATAACACTCCCTTATGACATAGGTATCTGTCTCAACCCGATCGACACAGAGAGAGAGAGAGAGAGAGAGAGAGAGAGAGAGAGAGAGAGAGAGATTAGGGTGATGCCTTGACTATAATGTGAGGATGGTGACAATGGTGTTCTCTCATGGTGTTTGTGTTTTGATGGACTTAGAATTCAACCTCGACCTATAATATAACCTTGTGCATTTCGGAAGTGTTTTAAATTATTTTCTTTTTTTGATTCTTTTTTTTCTTTTTTTATTAGTGTTTTGTTTTCTTTTTGTGTTTTGTGTTTTGTTTTGCTGTTTTTTGTGTTTTGTTTTGTTTAGCTGTGGTGGTGGAAGGGTCAGGTTAAAGGTGTCATTTAGCTGTGGTGGTGGAAGGGTCAGGTTAAAGGTGTTATTTAGCTGTGGTGGTGGAAGGGTCAGGTTAAAGGTGTCATTTAGCTGTGGTGGTGGAAGGAACAGGTTAAAGGTGTCATAAGCTTACCAAGGAACCTCCCTCCATGCACACAACTGCCTAACTACACACACACACACACACACACACACACACACACACACACACACACACACACACACAAAGCGTCTAATTTAGTGTTACTTAACGTTATTATTATCTGTAGTTTTGCTGTAGATTGAGACAGCCATACAGACAGACAGACAGATGAGAAAGACAGAGATGAAAATGACAGAGAGAGAGAGAGAGAGAGCGAGAGAGAGAGAGAGAGAGAGAGAGAGAGAGAGAGAGAGAGAGAGATGATAAAAAAACACGACGCCCCTTGTTTTATCTTATCTGGGATGATAGTGCGTCGTCCGCCAGTGCAATATTTATCAAAATACAACGAAGAGTTCCCACTTAACTAAGCCATGTCAGTAATATTTTTAGTGTGTGTGTGTGTGTGTGTTTTTCTAACTAAATTTATAAATTGTTTCAATAACTATCTCGTGGAAGAAGAAAGGAAGGAAGGAAGGAAGGAAGAAAAGAAGGAGACGAGATGGAGGGAATTTTAATTTTGTCGCCGATAGCAGCTAGTTTAATGTGCACTTCATAGAGAGCAGAAGTCATAGAGGTTGTGGGAGGGAGAGAGGGGGGAAGAAGGGAAGGGGGCTGAATGGAAGTAGAGAAGAGGGAGGAAGGGAAGGAGAGAGGGAGAGAAGGGGGGCGGGATGGAGGAACTGAAGTGCGAGGGAGGGGAGGGAGGGAAGAGGTACGTGCCATAGTGCCAGTGGTGTGTTGTGGCCCTGCGTGGCACTCACCCCACTCAGTTGGCACTATCGCCCCACCGTGGTCACCCGCATGCCTCTGCTCCCACCCTGCACTTGCTAGACCCACAAGTTTAACTACCTGTGATTGACCAGCTGTGGATATATAACCGATCTGGTAACTGAGACGATAATTAATTGCTTCATACGTGAGGGATAAGGAATACCCCTGGGTTCTCTGCTTATCCCGACGTGGTTACCTGAACGTGTTGCTTCGCCCGTCGATGGACCATAATGATAGTCATGATCACGTATGTGGTAGTTTATTAAGGGAAGGTGTTGAGTGCTGTACAGGGTCAAGCTGTGTGGGTCTGGATCCTCGTGTGCTGCTGTGGCATCTGCTCTTGACTCCAATGACAGGTGTGTCGGTAAGCATGTATGTCTCTTTTTCACAGGTGTGTGTGTGTGTGTGTGTGTGTGTGTGTGTGTGTGTGTGTGTGTGTGTGTGTGTGTGTGTGTGTGTGTGTGTGTGTGTGTGTGTGTGTGTGTGTGTGTGTGTGTGTGTGTCTCTCTCTCTCTCTCTCTCTCTCTCTCTCTCTCTCTCTCTCTCTCTCTCACACACACAGGTGTGTCGAGCCGTTTACCTGTTGTTAATAGCCTCCATTTGGTGGTTCGTGGCTCTATTTTGGATGGTGGTGAGATGGTGTGGGTGATAGTGAAGAGTGATGGCGTGGTGGTGAGAGTGACGGAGTGGTGGTGAGAGTGACGGAGTGGTGGTGAGAGTGACGGAGTGGTGGTGAGAGTGATGGCGTGGAGGTGAGAGTGATGGCGTGGTGGTGAGAGTGATGGCGTGGTGGTGAGAGTGATGGCGTGGAGGTGAGAGTGATGGCGTGGTGGTGAGAGTGATGGCGTGGTGGTGAGAGTGACGGAGTGGTGGTGAGAGTGATGGCGTGGTGGTGAGAGCGGTGGTGTGATAGTAAGTGTTCGTTAACCCAGCCTTTCTGTGTGTGTGTTTTACCTGATAACCTAACCTAATCCCACCAGGTAACATTAAGGTGTGTAATCATCAGGTGAAATAAACTAGGGTGTATAATCAACAGGTGATCCATAATTGTCACCATAATCAGTCACCTTTTATTTATTTTAACTCTCGCGTCCGTCTCCCCGTTTGTGTCCAATATCCCATAGTTATCCTTGTCGGGTTAGGTGCAGTGTGGCAGCCTTGTGTTTGTTTACATTCGACAAAGGAAACTCGCAATAATAAACATACTATGGAATCAAAGTAAAACAAATTAAAACAAATATCTCAATATCATGATTTGTGGAATATTTATTATAACTAGCATCTGTAAACGCAAAAGTGAAGGGGACTGTACCTCACGAATATTTTTGTTTTTACATATAATTACCCCATTTACAGGAGCTACTTTATTGTGCATCCCATACTCATCCTGTGAGCGGTAACGCCAAAGTATTACAGATTAGAGTTCACAAAGGGTCTGTATATAACTAACCCTATAGTCAGGATATTATGGTATTGAATGTGGTAGTGTGTTTCAAATAGATTCTTTCGAGGGCCCATGGTTCAGTCACTGGGTCACCTTGAGTTAAATGAATTGCGTTTTTCATGGCTTCTATTGTGTGATTTTCAAAGGTATATTATCAGTCCACCTAATTTGCATAATCCGTTAGTTTTAAAATGGTCCAAGGGTTGTCTCTGTGATTTTGGGATTGTTTGTTGGTGATTGTGGCCATCTTGGTGATTGTGACTGTTTGTTGGTGATTGTGGCTGTTTGTTGGTGATTGTGACTGTTGGTGATTTGGGCCTTGTTTGATGGTGATTTTGGCTTGTTGGTGATTGTGACCTTGTTGGTGATTTGATCTTGTTCTGTTGATGAATTGAATATGTTTTTCACACCACTCGTACACCTCCACCACATGAAAGACGCGGTGTGTGTTGTGTTAGTATGGTTTCTTGTTGTTATTTACCTACACCACACTCTGTAGTTTCATGTTAATTGTGTGTCAGGGCGCTTGGTGTCGACAATTTTAAGTTACACACACACACACACACACACAGACACACACAGACACAGGGGCACCAATGTCTCCTCACGTATGTTGTTTCTGTAGTAATATGACACTAGTTGACCACATACAGGACGTCTCAAATGTAAACAAACTCCTTGACACATTTCCCAGGTGATGGCGTGAATGCTCATGTTATAAAGAGTAACATTATCCTCACTTGTAAGAGATCTCCTCACATTATCAACAAGTGAGGCCGCAAGTGTTGCTGTTTTAAGACAATCATTCACTCGATCGCCAGGAAAATATGTCTGGCAGTGTGTTGATGTAAATACACACAAAATGTTCTAGAGAATACAGGAACAGCCATCCACGTGTGTTATGAAATTGCTGCACGTTTACTGTATCAGAATGCCCTTACGATAAAAATCTCTTATTTTGTTATCAGATTATAATTAAAATAGTTTTGTTGAAGAGAAGAGTGAGGTGAAAGGTGATTGGCTCGGCTTTTTTGATGAAGGGCTAGAGGTGATTGGCTCAGCTTGTGTTTATTAAGTTAATGCGCTCTCATTGGCTGACACTACTTTACTGACACTGCCCACAAGGATATTACATCAATACCTTGCCCCCCCACAACCTTGGACCAGGCGCCGTGATGTGGCCTGAATAACACACATGTTGATATTAATTACTGCTCTTCAATAACTACTTAAATACACTCATCATCAATACTTAATAGATACATCAATGTCTCTTGCTGAATAATGTAACCACTGGGTCTGGCGCCTGAAGTCTGGTAGGGGATAATTTTTTGACACTTGGTAAAAATTTGGTCCTTGGTAATATGGACTAGTCTACCCTGCATGCCATTGTAATGCTTCGCCACTCGGTGTTTGGGGAACTGTTTATTATCATTATTATTATTATTAACTACTGTCTACTACAACTATTATTACTACTACCATAACTATTACTACCAGTACTACTATTATTACCACTACAACTACAACTTCTACTACTACTACTATTATTATTATACGTACGAGGCGGGCTATTTGCTAAAGGTGTTTACTTACTCTGTGTGTATTCGTTTTTGTCTAATTGTATTTGCCTAATATAATATTTAGGTCGTAGGATATTTATATAAGCTGGGAGAGTGGAGTTAAGGGGGGTGTTTGCAGGGGAAGGGCGAAGTTAAGGGGGTGTTTGCAAGGGAAGGGCGAAGTTAAGGGGGTGTTTGCAAGGGAAGGGCGAAGTTAAGGGGGTGTTTGCAAGGGAAGGGCGAAGGGGTGTTGCAGGGAAGGGCAGAAGTTAAGGGGGTGCAGAAGGGGAAGGGGCAGAAGTTAAGGGGTGTTTGCAGGAAGGGCAAGTTAAGGGGGTGTTTGCAGGAAGGGCGAAGTTAAGGGGTGTTTGCAGGGAAGGGCAGTTAAGGGGTGTTTGCAGGGGAAGGGCAGGGGGGGTGTTTGCAGGGAAGGGCGAAGTTAAGGGGGGTGTTTGCAGGGAAGGGGCAGAGGAGGGGTGTTTAAGAAGTTAAAGGGGTGTTTGCAGGGGAAGGCTGGAGTTTAGGGGATGTTTACACACACACACACACACTTATGGGTTACTGTGGGTACGTTAGGTTAGGTCAGGTCAGGTCAGGTCAGGTCAGGTGATACTAGCGTTAGGGTGGTTAATCTTCAGGTAAAATAAGCACGGGAGGGTGGGGGCTAGGGTGAATCTTCAAGTGACCTGATTTTTTTGTATTTAAAGAAACTAACTGCGTAGTCGAGGCAGGTAATGGGCGGAGAGGAGTGAGTGATAACCCGAATATATGGTGACACCTGGACGTCTTGATCACCTACCTGCCTACCTGACCCACCTACCCACCCATCAACCCACCCATTAACCCGCCAGCCCACCCATCAACTTCCCACCTCCCACCCATCCCAGCCCCCATCAACTCTCCCACCCACCAGCCCACCCATCAACTCTCCCACCCACCACACCCATCAACTCTCCCACCGCCACCCACCCATCAACTCTCCCCACCGCCACCCCACCCATCAACTCTCCCACCCACCCACCAGTCCACCCATCAACTCTCCCACCACCAGTCACCATCAACTCTCCACCCCACCCGCCATCCCACCATCAACTCTCCCACCCACCAGCCCACCCATCAACTCTCCCACCCACCAGCCCACCATCAACTCTCCCACCCACCACCCCACCCGCCACCCCACCCACCAGCCCAGTTATCCACCCACTCACCTTCTCTGCCCCTCCCTGATCATCTTGCACTTCACCTTTATGCCTCACTCACTCTCCTCTCCCTCACTCCCCTCCTACACCTTCTTCCCTCTCCCTCACTCCCCTCCTCCTCTCCTCTCCCTTACTCCCCTCACCTCCTCATTCCTCTCCCTCATTCCTCTCCTCTCCCTCACTCCCCCCTACACCTTCTCTCCCCTCCTTCACCCCACCACCAGACAACACAGGTACTCTTCACGTAATTACCTGAGCGTGAAGTTTGTACTCGAGACTAATGGCGTATCCGTGTATGTCACCTGCCGCCTTTACTGCTCTCTTCTCAAGAACCCCCCGCATCTCTCCTTCCTCCCGCCTCTCCCTCCTCCAGTCTCTCCCTCCCGTCTCTCCGTCCTCCCGTCTCTCCGTCCTCCCGTCTCTCCGTCCTCCCGTCTCTCCGTCCTCCCGTCTCTCCGTCCTCCCGTCTCTCCGTCCTCCCGTCTCTCCTTCCTCCCGTCTACCCCTCCTCCTGTCTTCTCCCCCGTCTCTCCCTCCTCCCGTCTACCCCTCCTCCTGTCTTCTCCCCTCGTCTCTCCCTCCTCCCGGATCTCCCTCGTCCATTTAAGCAATGGGGCCCATCTGACTGTCAACTTATCCACGTGGGTCAAGATTTGGTGACCTCAGGTAGAATCGTAAATTACTACACACACAAAAAATACAAAGATACAAAAAATACACAAAATACAACAGAAAGTAAAAAAAAATACACAAAATACAACAGAAAATAAAGAAAATATGCAAAATCTGATCCACAAGAAACCATTTTATTGGGTATTACTTTAGATAAATTTATGAAAGCCGACGGCTGGATCATACTTCAATTGGCCAATTTTATCATCCTATGTAATCGGCTGTAACCTTGGTGGCGTTTGATCTCATGATGGTCCGTGTGTGTGTGTTTGGTTGTGTGTGTGGGAGAGAGAGAGAGAGAGAGAGAGAGAGAGAGAGAGAGAGAGAGAGAGAGAGAGAGCTCCTCCTTCCTCATCTTAAGCTTCCCCTACGCCTAACTCTCCTTACTCTATTCCTCCTCGTCTTTCTCTCTTTACTCCCTTCCTCCTTCCTTTACTCTCTTCCTCCTCTTCTTCCTCTCTTCTTCTTCCTCTACTTCTTCCTCCTC